TAATATTATCTCTGAGTTGTTGCTGAGGAAACTGGGGCACAGACAGGGTAAATGTTAATTGAAAGCTATGCAGATAGCTAGGATTAAAATTCAGGGTTTTCAGGGAGAAGGAAGGTTGACACTGTTCCAAGCTCTGCCCACAAAAAAACTACACCCACGTGAGATGCCCCTCTCAACAGATTGCATGATGATGATACACATCTTCACTGTAGGACTTCACGGGCTTGGCTTCCCCTTGTTGAGGCTTCTGTGCCCCACTGGATATCTTCAGTTTGACTCCCTCACAGGGGAAGAGAGGTTCTGCCAGAACCCTTGGATTTGGCTTATTCTGCCTGCTGGAGGAAGATGATGATTCTCTTCCAAACTCAGCTATTCATGGTGTCAGTCACAGTATGTTGGGCAGGTCTTCAGACTAGAACCCACCCTCTCTTTTCTTACATGCATTAATAGTTAGTTCTCAGTGATAATATAGCTGTCATTTGAGTTGATGTCAGTGAGACTGACGCATCATCTCACAGTCCTTAGAGCAAGCCAGTATCACTGCACCAGGAGTGCATCTCAGTCACCAGAAGAGCTAAAGGCATAATATTTGTTTTTAAGTGAAAATATACATTCCTAGAAATAAAGTGAACAAATGGTACATCCTACTTGCACCACTTACAATGTACCAGCTGAGGCCTGACTGAGGCCTGACTGATTCCCATTCATGTGCCCAAGTTATTAACCTGTCCCTATTGCTCAGTAAAGGGTTAGGGGCTAATGGCTGTACCTGTATTCTATTAGTGGCACTCTCTTATTATGCACTAATAAGACTAGCACTCTTAGGATCAGCAATACAAAATCATTTCTAGCACAGACAACTGAAGACTGTATGTAAGATAACCAGTTACAGTTATCAGCAGAAGCAGCATTTAGGCTGCCTGAGTTTATTGATACCATCTTAAGCATTAAGAATGGACTGAGGCCACAGCTGCCACAGCCACCTCTCTGCCAGCAATCAACCCTGTGCTACACTTGCTGGAGTATGCCTGAGTGTCTCAGATGAATGGAATATCTGGATGTATCTGTGCTCAGGACCTTCCCAGAAGAGCACACTTCAGAAATGTTTCAGATCATAAAATGTAGCCTCCATTCCAAGTAGAATCCAAATAGTCTCCATAGACAGTTTCCTTTCCGCCATGTGTTTAGGAAACAAGCAGGACTACATAATGTATTCTGGGTATTATAAGTCACTGCATAGTGAAAGGGAATTTCCAATGGCATGAGTAAAAAGATATAAAAAAGAATGGAGAGGAAGCCAAGCTGCATTGCACACTTGAGGTAAGTTTCCCAGTGCACTTAGTTTTAGTTTCTAACACAGGACTGAACCATGAACAGTCATGTGCCTTGACTACCTCTTTGAAAAGTGGTTGGATGACAGTGGATATATGGAAAAGCAAATGGAAAAAATGCAGTTTTCAGTTGTGGACATCATTTTTCTTTCTACCTTTCCATTCTATGTGCTATTTGTCATTACTTGAAAGGCTATTGGCTTGGACAGGCAAAGAGAATACAAACACTTAGCAATAATCTCACTTGCTACAGATTGTCTTTGTTGTGTAAAGGGCATTTCTCTCACCTGATGTTTGGAGATGAGAATTTGGGAAGTAAGTGTTTGTGCATGTATCATTGCCGAGGAACTGTTTCACGCAACACCTGAACCTTGGGGCCATTCTATTATCCCTTTTTAAAACAAATCATACTGTGCCACCTGAGCCACTCGAGCACATGTGCACACATGATGCAGTGCAAGCAGGAATCTACAAAGCTCTGATGTTGCTACACTACAGCATTGTAACTGAAACTTTAATGGAAATGGGTTTCTTTTCATTCTTTTTCTTTGCAGCTTCATGTTAGCTACCCCTAACACCAGGTGATCTAACAGCATGAAGGGGGCCAGAAGAAGGGTCATGAGTATGAGAGACTGTCCATAAGAAGCACTTGAAGCACTGCAGGAGATATTTAACCTAAAACTATGAAAATCAGTACTGATCTATGTCTCCCCAGGAGTGAGGCAGTTTTATTTTTGTTCTCTATGCTGAGGCTGCTTAGAAAGCAAATACAATTGCTAACAGTAAGCTGTTCTTTGCTCCTAACTGGTGTTCTCATTTCCACAATAACAGCTATGGAGAAGGAACAACATCCTGCAGAGCACTGCAGGAATTAAGGGATGGCTTACTATACTTAACTGACATCTATGTATGGGTTTGATCAAAGATCCAGTTTTCCAATCACAGGGGAGAAATTCAGAGTTGAAGTTAAATTGTAAATGTTATTTAACAGAAATTGATATGGGGCATGATCTGATCTCAATAGAATTATTCCCCTTGCCTTCGAAAACCATGACTCAGACCTATAGCTAACAACTATCCTTTTTGCAATGGACTCTACTCAGTATTATGCCCAGACAGCATATTTTCTTTCTGCCTTTCCTTTTCCATTTTCACTTGATTGTTAAAGGGAAGGGAGGGGCTCAGGTTGTGCTTCTGCTGTATTCAAATGAGTAAATGATTGTGGGGAGGGAGGAAAGCAAAGAAAACAATGGATGAAAATGGGGTGGGAAAACAAAACCAATCATTCTAAACTGAACCAAAAGTGTTCATTTAGGAGATAAGTTTGTGTAGTGTGGGTTTGGAAAGGAGATCTGCTGCTCCAAACAAAAGAGAAGAAAGAGGGAGAAATAGCAAGGTTGTCTCCTACCTCCCATCTTGTGTAGCCATTGACACCTGTGCAAAGCAAACCTGAGAGCCAGTCACTGCTTGCAGACAAACAGAGCAGAGTGAAGCTAACTATAGGGACCCAGGTGCAATTTAGCAATTCAAGGCCACCCATCCTAGAACAATATAGACCTGCACATGGGAAGTCATAATTTAAACCAATTAAAATAAAATTATCCATGCTTCCTGTCTATTTTGTCCCAATCCTGAATTCCCCTTACACTTAAAGACAGATGGTGCAGGAATCAGCGGTGATGCCTCCAGATGTTTTACTTAATAAGGAAATCCACTGGACAGGGATAATTCTCCCCTGAGTGTTCCAAGCTGCTTTTAATCTGAATTGGCAGTGCTTCACAGCCATTTCATACGAGGAGAGACTAGAGAACCTGGACCTTTTCAGCCTCCGCAAAAGAAGGTTGAGAGGCAACCTTGTGGCTGCCTATAAGTTCATCACGGGGGCACAGAAGGGAATTGGTGAGGTTTTATTCACCAAGGCACCCCCGTGGGTTACAAGAAATAATGGCCACAAGCTAGCAGAGAGCAGATTTAGACTGGACATTAGGAAGAACTTCTTCACCATGGGGTCATTTAGACCCAGCTCTCTTTCCTGCCTATGCAGGGGGTCGGACTCAATGATCTATTGAGGTCCCTTCCGACCCTAACATCTATGAATCTATGAATCTATGAATTTTGCATAGGGGCACATGACTATGCAAGGGGCAAGGAAATGGAAAAATGAGATGCAGGTGTAGGGGAAAGTGAACTGTTGAATTACTTTGCTTGATTCAGTCCTCTGTAGAACTACTCACAAGTGTGCTGGTGGGATTGGGCCCCAATTCCTTTGTAAGGTGAGTTAGTTTTGTCATTCACATAACAAAGGTTGCAATAACTATGTAGAAATAGAGACTGGAGCATACATGTCTCAGACCTCCTTTATTCTGATAGATAAACTGTTTTGCTTGAGATTTGCTTGTTGGCTGAGGACTAGATCCTATGGGAATATCAAGACTCAAGTCCTCCAAAAATATGAGAAACAAAAAAAAGGACAATAGAAGAATGAGCCTCCCAAGTAGAATCTCTTACATCTTTGAGCCTGAAGCTCCAAGTTCCCACAGCTCCTAGAAACTGAAACCCACCCCTTTTCATAGCTTTCATTCATTCTTCAGAGCTTCTTCCTATAGCTCTTAGACTAGGTTGGGCAGTTCCTACACCTTCATAAAACTCAGGCAATTCCCATTGTGCTATAAATAAATTGAAATGGTCACAATGAAAAAGCACTATAGCCCATATGGTACATCCCATGAAAAAAAAAGTTTATTGCTAGCAAAATGCCATACATCTTTGCTTAGAAACTGCATTTTCTCTCCAATGTAATTACCGCCCTTTGTGGCTTTAAACTGAGGCCACCTTGAAAATGAAGGCAGCTTCTATTACATTTAATTACTTTACCCAGAAAATCATGTTGTAAAAGTGCAGGTGTTAAGCAATGCAGACTACTAAATGAAGGCACTATTATTTTTCTATTAAATCACTATTATGTCTATTATAAATAGCATTGTAAAAGATATGCCATGTTTTCTTGCTATTATGAGACTTCTGCCTTGATTAGTTATTACAATACATATAAAATAAACAGAACCATCTGTCTCAAACCCTAAAATAAGCACTTAAATCTCAGCTAGTATTAGCAGATCAGTATCCAACTCAATACAATTATCTATTGAAAGATCAGTAAAGGCAGACAGTAGGCTAACTTTCTCATTGCAATTCCTCACGTATATTAGTGGTTCCTTCCATTAGGATTTGCATATCCACCACTGACTTAAAACTCCAGACTATTCACTTGTCCCCAAATGGTATAAAAATAGTGAACTGCAAAACAGAAGTTAATTGCATGCTGATAATTACCATTCCCTTCTCCATCCCCAGACTTTTCTTTGTACTATGCTAAAATTGAATAATAGCTTGTTAGTGGAACTGAGGCATGAGCACATCTGCACTAGTAGACTGTTCAACTCAAGGTGAAATTGTGTCCTGATACAAACATATGGCTGAATATAAGGGATACATTCCTGCATCAGATAATAAATAATTATCAGTTATTTTATATGCAGCAATCCAGGGCCTGGCATGTTCAGTGTCCCATCTAGTTTCCAAAACTAACTGATCAGAAATGCAAAGAGACTCAGAAATGTGTGAGGAAGTATCCAACACAAAACACTAGAAAGGCAGGAGTGCTGCTATCTGTTGTGCGACCCATCAAGGAAGATTTCTGTTTTTGATGATGTTCTCTAAAAGTTCCTGAGCTTCTTTAAGCCCTTGATCTGCTGCCACACTGAGGAATTTTTCAACTTCCCTAAAAGACACAGAGAAGAAGAAATAAAAATCAAAATGCATAGAGGGTCTATTTCCTTCTCCATTATCTCCCTCCCCACGATGGCTGGGTCTAGGGGGATGCAGCAGTGCACATTTTCCAAAAAAATTATGTTTGTTTTTGTTTCCATCTTAAACTGAATAATATAGCACTGGGCACCTTGCACATCAGTAGTTTCTATTTAACTGGAGAAAAATGTGTGTTGTATTTATCTGTGATGATGCACCACACCATCTGCCCCACCCCACACACACACTTTTAAAATCCTAAATCTGGACATGCCCCCTCATCCACTTTGCCTGACTGTCTCGTACTACTTACCAGACTAGAATCTTTGCATTTTCTAAAAAAAATAATTCTCAATTTCACAAAAAACTAGTGGTTTAATGTCCTCTCTCTTT